CCAACAACTCAAATCTATAGGGTCTGGGTAATGCAATCCACTGCCTGGGAAATGTTTAAAATCTAATAAGGTATTTATTAAACATAAAAGACAGGACATAAGATTCACAAAGCAAATTTCAGTTACTAGAATATCAAACCTCCCTTCTAAATTCCATGTTTTGCTTATATTTTAGAGAAAAGGGACTTTGACTGGGGGGGGGGCAAAATGGTTGAGTGGGGGGGCCACCATGGGGGCTGGGGGGGCTTTGGCCCCCCCAGTTATATAGTTAAAAAATGCCCTGAGGTCATGGTGAGTAATTTCGAAATTGTAGGTTGCTTTTATGCTATCGAAAGAATGTGCGGAATGCGTGTAGGCGAAACAATGCTTAGGCGAAACAATGCATGCTTGGGTCATTAGGTTTTGTTAACGACCTTGTTTACTCGAAAGCGGTTTTTGTGACGACATTTGCCGAATCATGCTATATTTTGCAGAATCATTTAGCAGAATCATGCTATATATATAAATATATATATATATATATATATATATATATATATATATATATATATATATATATATATATATATATATATATATATATATATATATTGCCAAAAAACAAACTCAATAAAAATTATTTCCGTTTTAGCAAAGTACATACATACATACATACTTTATTGTGTTCCCTAAATAGGGATTTTCAACACTGATTTACAAAAATAAATGTTGTTCTATTTACAAGTTTTAGAATCTAGAATTTAAATTAAGGTAAAAAGGTAAGACATTTGTATAAAGTTTAACAAGGTAAAATTATCTACTTATATATTTGTTCTAGCATGCTTCGCTTCAGTTCGTTTTTGAAAGTTTTTAGAGAGTCTAACTTTTTGTACTTTATGTCCAAATCATTCCAGAGTGTAACGCCTCTATAATGAAAGGACCTTTGACCTGCAGAAGTTTTGTACAATGGTATTTGCAGTGAGTCATGGCTACGTGTATCTCGTTGATGAATGTCAGAACGTTTTGTGAATAAATCGCTCAAATAATGTGGAACAAGTTCATTGACACATTTGTACATCATAATAGCCTCTCTTAGTAGTAATTGTTCCTTTACTGGGAGCCAGTTAAGTTCACGTAAGCCCGGCGAAATATGGTCGAACTTTCCAATATTTGTTATTATCCTGCATGCAAAATTTTGTACCAACTGTAGTTTCTTAATGTTGGTAGACGAAGTGTTTGACCAAACCGTTGAACAATAGAACATTTTGTTCATTACAAGTGCCGAGACGATGAGAGTTAAAGCTTCTTTATCGAAACATTTTTTGACTCGGTTTATTTGGCACAAGGAATTCATACATGAAGAAACCAGGTTGGTGATATGCTGGTCATATGTCAAATAAGAGTCGATTGTCATTCCTAGATCTTTGGCAAAGGAGACGGGGGTAATAGTCTCGTTGAGGAAGTTTATGGTCATATCTACGGGAAGTTGTTGTAGGTTTTGCCGTGTGCCAATCAGCATGTATTTGGTCTTTCCCGGGTTAATAAGCAATTCATTTTTGGAACAACTGTTTGCAATCAAATACAAGTCTTCCTCAAGTTGTTGCTTTAAACAGTCCACGTTAGCCACAGTGAAAGATAGTAATATCTTGGAGTCGTCCACGTACGATTCAAGTTTACTATGGTGGACTGATGAGGGCAAATCGTTAGTATAAATACTAAAAAGTAAAGGTGATAAAATTGCACCCTGTGGTACACCATAAAAAACAGGGAGAGGAGTAGACACAGTAGATCCAATTCTGACTGATTGAGTTCTTCCGGTCAAGTAACTCTCAAACCATTTTACAACGCTTGGAGAAGCCCCGACGTTGCTAAGTTTTGTAAGGAGAAAAGTATGATTTACACTGTCGAAAGCTTTAGATAGATCTATTAGAATCAGTGCAGTAACCAATTTCTCATCCATGGCCTTTAGGATAGTATCTCCGGTCAAAAGATTCAATGTTTCGCATGAGTGATGTTTCTTGTTCCCGCTCTGGTGGGTTGACAATTTTTTGTTCTTCATTAGATACGAACCAAATTGATTCAAGGCGACTTTTTTCACAAATTTTCGAAAGAAAGGTAAGGAGAGAAAGTGGGCGGTTATTTGATGCTTCCTCGTGGTTTCCATCCTTTAACAAAGGGATAACTTCTGCTTCTTTCCATGCTATAGGGAACGAAGATGACGACAGTGAACAGTTAATGATATCGGTGAGGGGCCCAAGAATTACCGGTAGGCTGTGTTTGATGACACGCATACTCACTTTGTCTTTGCCGGGTGATTTGTTTGACGGCATAGCAAATATGATGTTCCTTATTTCTGAACAAGAGACTGGGGTGAAACTAAATCTATCATTTTCTTCAGGGTAGCTGTTATCTGTGCGATTTACGTCAGAAAGATTCCGAGCTGGATAAACACTAGGATCTTGTATTAGTGTTGAGGCTTTCTTTGCTGCATTCACACCAATGGTGGAAAAGAAATGATTAAACTCTTCGGCCACTAATTTCGGTTCCTTACTGTAGACCACCGACTCTCTTTCCCTATACGCTATATTTTCTTTAATTACCTTCCAAAGTGACCCAGTATTGTTTCTGTGTTGCTGAACTTCCTTCAGTACATATTCTTTCTGTGCATTAACAAGTGCGGTTTTTGTAAAATTGCGGGCCTCTCTGAAATTAAGCCAATCATAATGATCACGTGTTTTCCTGAAAAGACTGTGGAGCTGGTCTCTTTTGATCATGGATGCTTTTATTTCCGGGGTGATAAATGGGCAAGATTTTCCGCGTACTTTTATGGTCTTTACTGGGGCGTGTTTATCCAATGTATTTAAAAATATTTCATTAAAAATGGTTAGTTTTTCATCAACATTGTCCATTCTGAAAATGGAAACAAGACGATCACGGTTGGATGCCAGATCGATCGCGAACAAATCAGGGTCGTATTTATTGTAGCTGCGGGTAGTGATATAGTTTGGTGGAGATTTATCGGTTTTAAGTTTTAGTGATACATACACAGGGAAATGATCGCTGATACAGGTTTCTATGACGCCGCTGTTGACTACTAGTCTTGGCGAGGATACGAAAATAACGTCGACGAGGGTCTGACTGGATTCAGTAATTTTTGTTGGTGATTTTATTAACTGGTTAAGGTTGAGTTCTTTTGTCGTCTTGATCAAAGACGCTGATCCAGGTGTGGGCTTAAGCATATCGCAGTTTAGGTCTCCAAGAAGAATGATCAACTTTCCCATCGTCAGAGCATGAACATAATTAGGTTTAAAATATTTTTCGAAGCAGTCAAGCGGGCTGTCTGGGGGTCGATAAGAGACACAGACCAACAGTGATTTAGATTTTTTATCTTTTCGTATGTAAGCACATACCCCGCCCCCTTTCTTGTGCAGTCGGTCTAAACGATGTAGCTTATAACCTTCGATTTCTATTTCCTTGTTCGTGACGGAGGTATTTAACCATGTCTCTGATACTGTAAGGACGTCAATTTTGTTAAATTTGGTAAACGTACGTAATTCTAAAAAATGGGCGTTATTTTTCAGAGAGCGGATGTTTAGGTGGACCAGTTTGAGACCTGGAAGGGTACTGAGGCTGTTATCTGACTTTTTTGTTAAATGGGCTGAGGCCGTATCATTAGTGGTTTTCGACGTGAGTGACCACGAGAGTGCGGAAGCGTTTGGAGAGGCAGGGTTGGACAAAGGAACACGAACAAGATTTCTATTTTGCAAGTTATTGTTAACACTAGAAGAATTATTAATGGTTAGTTGATATGATAGTCTCTGACGTGATGGTCTCTGACGTGAAGTGATTCTAACAAGTATTTTCATCATATTGTCTGCTGCTGACTCGTCAAACAGGCCACTGTGTGGAGATGGGCCAACCACTCTAGAGAGTGGTGGCGGTGGGCTGTCCGATACGAAGGAATGACACGACAACGTTTTAAAAAAGGATACCGGCTACAATGGTGCCTTCGAAACCCTAAGGGGTTTGTAACTTGACCGTGTCTAAGAGACTTGAGGGTCTCGGGGCTGGAAGATGAGGGGACGAAGAATGCTTTAGATTTGACTCGCTGATTGACCTATCCGATCGGGGATTCACCTGGTCAGGGTTAAGGGCATCAAGGCTTAACACGGTTTTTGCATAGGATCGATTGCAATTCCTACATATGCCTTGCTTCCCACGTTGCTTGAAATGTTGACACCCATCGGATAAATCCTGCTCACGCTGATCTAATTCATTTTCGTCAAAAGTGAGGTTTGCAGAAACATCTTCGATTATACTTAGATCTTCGCATAAGGGCAAATAGTTTAAAACATTCTTAGCCTGAAAAGGCTCACGGTTCAGGCTTAATGAGTAATCTTTTTTGAAGGAGTTGATTGTAGTCTTAGATTGTTGTGTGGATAATAGGGCATTGTTCTTTATTTCAATGATAACTGTAGGGAAACTTTCCTCAGCGGGCAGGTTATCTACATTAACTGGGGTTGATAATTTATTTTAGTTGATTCATCGTGTTGGGGATTTACATTGTCAGGACTGTTAAAGGACTTCTTATCTTGTAAAGATGGCTTTGAGGGACTTGAAAAGGTTATGGAAGCCGAGTCTTTAATCATCATTTTCTCCTCTAGGTCGGTAATGCGTGACTTTAAATTCAAATTCTCGTTTCCTAATCGGCACAGCTCTTGTTTATTTGTGTCAATAATATGATTTTGTTCAGACACTTTAGTCAACAATTTTTCTATTTGCGATTCTATTTTTTCTTTAAATGTAAGGAGTTGTGCCTCGGCTATAGTCGGGATATCATCAGCTCGTTATTGAAATGGTGTAGAAAAGCTGGCTGTCTGAGCAAAATTCGGCGTGGCTGCGACATTCGCAATATAATATGCGCTATCAATGAAGTCCTCAAGTTCTTCGAGTGACGAAGTGTCAGCAATCGATTCAAACCCCATATCTTTGGCTTGATAATGGCTAATGAGTGTGCTGTCCTTTTATTTTGAAAACATGAACAGATTTTGAACAAAATCAAGATATAATTGTGTTATTTCCTTCAAAATTATTGTCATCTGGTTCTGCAATTGGCTTTCGGCCTATCTGCATTGTGCATTCACGTCATTTACATTGTTTCTTACTGTGGAATGAATATGGAATGAATAATTATATTGACAACTAATCGTAGTTAGTATATTCTAACTTTGATACAAATATGTTAACCGTCCTGTCAACACATATATGCATCCAGGGACGTAGCGACCGGGTGTGTGTGTGGGGGGGGGGGAGTGTAAATCCCCCCAACGGTGAAACTCCGGTAAAAATCAGGTAAAATCCAAGTTTAAATTTTGACATTTTCAGGTAAAATTTGCGTAATAAAGTCGTTATTTTTTGTGAAGTGATAACCATTTTTGTAGAATACAGTCAATTTAGATCCAATTCGTTTGCGAATTTGCTTTAGAAAACGCCTGAAATGCAATCCTGGAGCTTCAAAAATGTAAAAATTTGGGGGGCCCCCTTTTCTTTGGAAGCTTAGTGTGACAGAGGAAATCAATCGGAAAAAGCTTTACTATAATCATTACACTTCGGGTAAATTTTTAATATTGAAGATCAAATTTGAGGTAAAATCCTCCGACACCCCCCCCCCCCATAATAAACGTATATACTGGTATATACGTTTATTATAATTATGTTCATAGGCCTACAGGGCTGATGCTTTCCGGGGGGAGGAGGGGGTGGCAGTTGAAAGTTTGCCCGAATTTTTAATAGAGGATTGTATTTTAACACATTTTTTTGATAAATGTGTCCATGCAAATTTTCTTGATTTTTCCTAACATATGCCCGAATTTCCATGGTTTTCCATGCCCCCCTTGTACGCCTGCGTGGCTCCGAAAATCCTCGCCTCCCTAATTTTCGGTGCCCGCGCCTCAAACCCCAATCCTTAAAACCGCCAGCTACGCAGGCTACCAATAGGCAATTATAGTTTACACAGAAATGACCAATAGAATAGGTATTAATTAATCAGATGTTTATGACAATTATAACTAGCTCTTCCTTCTAATTCAATACAATACAATTAATACAAATACGAAACAATGTATTGTATTAGGGCTATTATCTTACTTGAACTGTTCCTGTTGTGCTTCGACATTTATAAGAACAATCCGATTCAACGATGATTTCTTGACATTTTAATCCCAACAAAAACAGCACCGCCATTAGCGCTGTTCTACGAGAAGCCATATAGTCATAAATGTCTTCAGCAAAACCGTAGAATCGATTAGTTTTATCAGTCTCAAACTGTTTATATATTACGCATGTTTGTTTCAATATTGTCACTCAGCCAAAACTTTGATGCAACTTGATATTGAAGAGGAAATTGATAAGAACAAGGTCAAGGGTTAACAATATAGATATTATTCAGTACGAATTTTTCAAGCGAGGCAGTAAATGAAATAAATATTTGAATTTTGAATATTACTTCCCCACACTCTTATAGTATAAGGGAATAAAATGAGCTGTTCACATAACATCATAAATATCTTGTATGCATAACATCTGTACAACTTGAATCTGGCATTGGAACAAGGTTATATTGCAAATTCCTAGATGATATGTCAACAAGTGGTCTTGAATATTAGCATCCGTTTCAGCGGGAAAATAGGGCGTAACTTTTTGGCAACGCAAACTCGCAAAGAATGGTCTAAAAATCAGATATGCCACCGTAGTATAAGGCTATAAGGGAGATTTATAACAGTAATAATAGACAGTGTAAAAGATCTGCGTAAAGACAATTGATTTACTTACATTTCCCAGCAACTGCCGACATTTCTTAACACACATGTTCCCACGTAAGGAGTTTCGTTCTTCGTTGGACTCCACATGGTTTCCAATAACGTTTCCCACAGCACAAGAAATTATAATTTGAATAACTTGAAGGAAAACCGTTTTCTTCGGATAATACTTCATTTTTTACAGAGATGGTCCACTTTTGATAACTGAAAATATCAACACCATAGAAGCTGTCATGTCATGCACCCGAAAACACAAAAATTTCAAAGCAATTTCTGACATAGGCCGAAATTATATACTATATATATATACTATATATATATATATATATATATATATATATATATATATATATATATATATATATATATATATATATATATATATATATATATATAGATAAAGATAAAATAAACTTGGTTTACTTCATAAGATTTATTCACTATAATGATAATTACTGCAAAGCTTTCAATCCATGAGCCCGAATCTACATCAGAGCCTGATATTTATACAGATTTTAGCACCAAGGTATAGTACAACAAGCATTGCTTGTCATACGAAACAAGTTTGTAGTGAATAAATCTTATGAAGTAAACCAAGTTTATTTTATCTTTATCTATATTAGCTCTATACTTCGGTATATCGAGCACTCTACTCATATATGATTCTAAATACATATTTGGTATATATATATATATATATATATATATATATATATATATATATATATATATATATATATATATATATATATATATATATATATATATATATATATATATATATATATATATATATATATACACGCATATTAAACGTATTATTTATTATTCATATTATTAGGTGATCACGGCCGTGACCTAATTTCTGGATAACTGCTTTCTCGTGATTCACCTCATACACAAAGCCGTATCTCGCGGACCGTGTGGGACACAGTACTATATATCTATATATGATATATTCCCTGGGCACTGGGCAGTGTCTGAAAAAGACGCACACATAACGCACACATTTTTGTATGTGTTATATAGAGCGACTATAACACATACAAAAATCTACATTTTAAGTATTTTAATAATCTTCATGCATATTTTAATTTAACTCAAGATCATATAGTTCTTACCTGTTCTCAGGTTAAGTTTAATCGAACCAAGGAATTTATCTTTAGCGTCGTAGTCGCAGTCGTAGACGTTAGATTAATGCTAAACTGCCTAAACACTCACGGTCTTTATTACTTTCAGTTCGTGTCAGTATATATAATGCGCAGCTTGAAGCAGAGTCAGAGAGCAACACAGAACTTTCAAGAGCCGTACACACGTGTTCGAGAACAATGGAACACGTGTTGCCAAAATTTCGAAATCGATTAATTGTGCATAAAAATCTCAGATATTATTTTAAATTTGTAAATTGATATCCGGATTTTTTTTGTACAGTACTTATTAAATGTGTGTTACCTTAAAGTTGTCAGTAACACGTGAATTTAACTCGAGTGTTTGGTCGAAATAGCAGGCATGGTAGAAAACGCAAAGTCAATATACGCACGGTAAGTAATACGGCTGGTATAATACTTTATACCAACCAGAACGTAATACGTTGGCGTAATACGGCTGGTGCAGCAAGATGCAATCTGTGCCTTGAAGAGAAGGTTTGCTTACTGGAAGCTGACAAAAGCAGGACTATTGAACTGATAAGCGCTCAGACTACTATTCGCGAAGTGTTGTCATATAAATAGCTTTAGCGCGCGCAAATTTGAACGCACGCGAAATGCGTCAGCAAACCGTTATAGTTTAGATCACGTCATTGAATCAACTTCAATCACAGAGGAAGTATATCTTTACTCTTTGCTTCAATCGCCTGAAGATCTCTTCGGAAGAAGCGTGAAACACAGTGTAGCGATAAATATATTTTAAGATTAAAGAATTATTTAAGCTCCATCGTATATTGGTATTGAGCATGCACTCTTCGTTCAATTACGGACAACAAGAATTAATTATATATGTGGGACATCAAAACCATGCCAGAGCGCTCAAACTGCAAGCAGTGAGCGTGCGGATTATATATATATATATATATATATATATATATATATATATATATATATATATATATATATATATATATATATATATATATATATATATATATATATATATATATATATATATATATATATATATATATTATATATAATCTTAAAAATTGTACATGTTGCTACTCAGAGTTTCATGCAATTTCGCAATCTTCAGGCAACTCAGTACGTTGCCTGAAGATATAGGGCTATATATATGTTATTGTTTATACCCAATTCGCAACTTTAGATAACCCACGTGACACATGCCCAATTAACATTGTCATCTAATTTACAGAAACATACAATAGAACAAAGGTGGTAACTAAGCTTTAGAATGTATGTACATGACTCATGAGTGAACAGGTCAGCTTATTCATTGCATGCTTATGTTTCTATTTTATGCTTGTGTGAAACTAGAACAATAGTAAGTAGTAACTGGGTAGCAACGATGTAACTATTCCTTTCCCACTAAAAAAATCCCAAAATTTCTTAGCATGTATGTAATGTCTAAAATGAAACATTGGGGTCATCGAATATCGTATTTTGTAGCTTTTCAAGTGCCAGACAGGATCATGAGCTCATGTTTGGCGTGACTCCGTGAGTGAAGGGTCGAGAGGTACTTCTGACTACGTGCTGGCCGCTGTCGTCCGGTGCCGCCCACCGTTGGTAGAACCCTGCATTCAACAGATACAGGTTTCTGAAAATTTTACTCTCATACTTATTTGTAACTTAATACGTTCATACAAAACGGGACTATCGAGGTTGAAATGTTAACATTTTTCGAAAAACTACGTTTGAAACAATTTAATTTCAGTTTGTAAAACGACCGTTCTTCGTCAGGTCGATTAACACTGATTCACTGTTGTTATTTCGCTTTATAACTAGGCAAATAATGTTCAGTTGTTCCCCCATCTTACATCAGTAAAATCTTTGTACGGTATAATGTTATAAGTACTATTTAATTAAAGCACGCGTAGGAGTGTTTTATCAGATATAAAACGCGAGGCGCAGCCGAGCGTTTTATATCTGATAAATTGATAACACACTCTTATACGCGTGCTTTAAATGGCTTAAAAAACGACCCATCTTCTGATGAGTACATTAGCGAAGTAATTTTTAAAATAAAGTTTGTCTAAACCGAGAAAATCAAAGCTAAAGTTTATGTAAATTAACATGATTAGTTTTATCACATATAAAGATACGACACGCTTATGATTTTTCTTTGTGTTTATTTCTAAGCCTCCTCCGCAGGCATCTCTATGGGGGTCATCTAATTGAGAATTGAGACTGATCACTGGACCCCTGGCTAGTTGTTTCTTCTTTGTAGTTCTCTTTTCACCTTCAAAATTGACGCATTTAAATCAGCTTTCCAAGCTTATAAGTCCAACTCGAGGGCCTTGCAGCCAGTCAAAGGAAGGGTGTATTGCAGCCAGTGGCGCCGTGGGACCCATTTTTTTTTTGGGGGGGGGGTGGGGGCAAGGGCAGGACTTTTCTGACAAACCGGAAAATGTTTCCGACAAACCAAAAAATTTTTCTGGACGACAACATTTTAAATATTCACCCCCGTCGACAACTTTGACAATTTCCGACAACATTGACAATTTTCCGACAATTTCCGACAACATTGACAATTGTCCAACGGGTCTCAACAATAGGGGGGGGGGCATCGCCCCCCTGCCTCCCCCGGCCAGGCTACGGCGCCACTGATTGCGGCTTTCAAATTGGATCATCACAGTAATTTTTCTCGATACTGTGACCAATCAAAAGCAGAGCATTTTCCCAACCAATCAGACGTAAGGGTCAGGGGAAGCCCTCCAGCCTCCCAATAATGATGAATGGGAAGCGCGATGTGTTGAGTCGTTGAAAAGGAAGAAATATATAACGTTGCCAAATTTTCTTTAGTGATGTTTCGAACTCCCCTCCTCCCTTCCACAGTGGACAGAAACTCTTTTCCCTCGACTCCGCACGCCTATATGTAGACCAACTTAACTTGATCGTGATCTTAGTTTATTTACATTTTGTGGGTTTGTTTCAGCTATGGCAGGTACGAAACAGCGCATTCTGATTAGCGGAGGTCGGCTATATTGCGAGTCTGCGAGTTGCGAGTCTGCGAGTTGCGAGTCTGCGAGTCACAGCACAGGATCCCAGGTTATTTTTTTATTCAATAGTTTAATGGTGTAATAGTTATTAGTCATATAGTTGTTTATATTTTTAGCCCGCATAGCATTGGGCCATTCCGGCGCGCCTGCTCTTGGGGATATTAAAAACAATCTCGAATCCAGAGCCCGCAATCCTCTACCTCCACAGAGGATTGCGGGCTCTGGTTTCGAGATTGTATTAAAAATAGAAGGAAGGCACATATCGAATTGAATTGAATTGTTGAATTGAATTTATTACAAAATCTGAATGGCAGCTAAGAGCTGAATTGTACAGAGTTAACATTTAAAATACATGGTAAAACTAATACATATAGTAATATACGGTATATTAAAACTAAAATTTATATTACAATTAAAATGAATCATTATATGATACGATACTAGAAGGAATAAAACTTTTACTAAATCTTGTAGTCTTACAATTAATCAAGTTAATATGCTGATCATTACGTAGATTGTAAGTACGTAAGTCCTCGCGTTTATTAGGGATAAGTTGGGTTGAGAAGTTTCTTAAAATAGGATTTACATAAATTATTTCGTCTTTGAGAGAGCAACGATATTTCATGAACTTCCAAGGCTTTGCGGTATGACCGGTCAGGACATATTATTCGTAGGGCTCGCTTCTGAATTCTTTCGATTTCTTCCTTTAAATAGTCAGGGGAGTTTAAGTTCCAAACCTGGCATGCATATTCAAGCACAGGTCTGCCATTGCCAAACTGGTCCGAAATGTAAGTTTTGTCAAGTTTGCGACAAGAAGAATATGTGCTTCCGGAAGGATTTGGTCTACTCCATAAAGTGCGGTTTATGTGACAAGAACCATGGAATTTACGTGGGAGAAACCAGCCGACCATTCGCTGTGAGGTTCAATGAACATCTTCGCTCTGCGAGAAATCCCGATGCGAAATCTTACCAACATATGGCATTCTCGAAACATTACAAACAGTTACACCCGGGTCAATCGCCTAAGCTTATTCCATCGATGTTGAAGAAAACAAAAGGAACATTGGAAAGAAAAGTCACGGAGGCATTCTACATTGAAAGAATGCAACCTGACCTGAACTCAAAGGATGAGCTGCAGGAAGTTAAGGGATTTTGTATATAGTTTAATGTAATTACATATGCAGGCACGGACACGAAATTTTAACGCTCTCACGGACACGCCATGGGGGGAAAAAATTAAGCGCGCGCACGGACACGAATTAGTTTGAAGCGCACGTCAGCTATTATACGCAATCCTAACGGATTTTGTCTAAATTTGTGATTGTTTTTAAAGTTTTATATCTTTAGTTACTTTTTAACCTGAAGATGGAGTTATACTCCGAAACGTAGTTATTAAAATAATCTTTTTGTACTGAGCCTATATGGTCTAATTTATTCAAACACACAAGCACAGGTCGTATACATGTGGTATAGACTTGAATTAGAGAACTCCCTCCAAGACCGCTGCGTTTAAGCACTCGGAGAAAAGTCTCTTTGATGCCTTGTATACTATGTGTTCAACATGTAAGTTCCAACTAAGATCAGAAGAAAAGTACAGACCAAGAACCTTTGCTGATAAAACTGGGGACATACAGTGATCTTTAATAAACAATGGTCGAAGATTAGGGACGTCCTTAGCGAACGAGATAATTAGTTCTTTGCATTTAGAACGATTAAGCATCATCATTTTCCGTGCACCATTGATCGATATTATTAATAACGGATTGCAGGTTACTTTGACAACCTTTACCGATTGTTTCGGAGAGACTAGTGTCGTCAACATATTTCCATCTATCTTTGTGCGGTTAATAGCCAAATCGTTGACCATGATGAGGAAGAGTAATGGGCCAAGGATTGTACCTTGCGGGACGCCTCCATTTACCAAGGACCAATCAGAGAACGAAGAACCCAATTTCACCCTCTGTCTTCTTTGCATCAGGAAATCAATAACCCAGTTTATTAAGGATTTATCAATATTTAGTAATTGCATCTTTTTTATCAGGATTTTGTGGTTGATTCTGTCGAATGCTTTACTAAAGTCAAGCAGAAAAACACGAACTCGCCATTGCCGTCTGTGTTAGAATACCAACAGTGGAACATGCTAATTAATGCGTCTATCGTAGAAGAGCCTTTTAACGATCCGAATTGCTTTGGGTCCAACTGAGACTTAATGGTATCCATAATCCATTGAAATGGAAATGATTCAAGAACCTTTGAGAGCGCGGCGGTCAGAGATATAGGTCGCAGGTCTGAAGATATATCCGTGACCGAGGATGTCTTAGGGACGGGAACGACATTTGCTTCTTTCCACTGCATTGGAACTTGTGCTTGTTTAATGGAGGCATTAAAAATCATTGTCACAGGTTCTGAAATCTCCATTGAAAAGTTATTGAGAATCCAATTTGGCAGAGAGTCTGGAGCTTTATTCGATTTAACTGCTTTTAAACGCGATCTGACATCAACAACGGAGATAGGGTACAAAACAGTAGGTTCTTCCACAGATAATTTATCAGTAATTGAAAGCGGCGGTAACGATTTAGTGGCGGCTAAAAACCCGTTATTAACAGCGAGTGCTAAGTCTCGTCCCTGCAAGATAGTTCCATTCACCTCTGCAGAATGGAAGGCAGGCTTTAAAGAAAAGCCAGCTAGGTTTTTAATAGCACTCCACCATTTCCTTGGCTTTGAATTTTTTAGATGATTCACTTGAGACTCGAAGTATTTAGACTTTGCCTGTTTCACGACGTGAATTACTTTATTTCGCAATTTGTTGTATTCAATTGTATTTCCCAAGACAAAGGCCTTTTGTCGTTGGGAGATGAGGAGTTAATTTTCAGGGGTAATCCACGCTTTGTCTCTACAGTGAAGTTTAACAGATTTTTGGGGAAAAATTGTATCCAAACCCATGAGAATAATGTCATAAAACAGGTCACACATTTTTTGACAATCGGGTAGCTGCGAAAGTACATTCCAGTTAAGATCCAAAAGAAATCGACCAAATGCCTGCATATTTGATTGCTTCCGCTTTCTGACCCAAACTTTGGTAATGGTATTAGGGCGGTGATTGTTACTAACGGGGTGTAACAGGACTGACATGTGATCCGATTGTCCAATAGCAGGGAGTATTTCAGGGTCATTGTAACAACGTTTCATATTAGTAAATATTAAATCTAAAGTTGCATTCCCACGGGTAGGTTTCTTTACAATTTGTTTAAGTGACGTGTTTCTGCAAAGGCGTTTGGAGTCGAACTGGTTAAAGTCACCCATAACAATTACACCTGCTGTTGGGTAAAATGCTAAAATTTTGTCCAACGAGATTATGAGGTGGTCACAAATAGGTCAGACTTGCATAAAATAGGTCAGACTTGCATACGGCGCCTAAATCTTTCTTCGATTTTTCGACTTTAAATGCATTTCTTTCGAATTTAATCGATATCGCCGGCAAGAATGATAACATACAACTCTCAAAACAAAGATGCTTTAATCAAAGAGCTTAATTCGCTTCAAAATACTCGATAGAACGACAAAATTCGGCTAAAATATATCCGAGGCATGTATAGGTGCTGTGCAGTAAACAGGAATTCGTTAAGCCACTGATTGACCAACATATTCAACTGTTTTCTCCTGCATGCCTCGGATGTATTTTGGCCGAATTTTGTCGTTCCTTCGAGTATTTTGAAGCGAATTTAAGCTCTTTGATTAAAGCATCGTTGACGTTGTTTTGAAAAAACCGTTGTAGAGTACTGAGTTCGGCTGGAGAAGAACCGTAGACGGACAGGCCAAACGTTATAGTAGATATTACTAGGGTCTTAAATAGATAATCCGGCTATCTCACATTGGCTATAGCCTACTGCCCTGGAGTGTTCGTATAACGTACAAGCATTTGTTTGCTTTGACCAATTTACCTCGCACATGACTGGTTAACTTGAGATTGTCTTGAAAAGTAGTACCTAAAATGGGAAGTTCTTTGCATTGGGGTATATTATAAACATTGTCGAGTTGATCATTATATCCCTTCTTCCGGATGATAAGCTCTTTACATTTACCAGGGTTACAAGTCATAAAATTATCGTCAGACCAGCTCAGGAATTGTCCAACTGTATCTGTTGATGTATCAGGACCGTCACTCCAAACTGGCACTATTATATTTGAATCGTCCGCATATTTAAAAAGAGCGTTCTCGCCGTCTATGTCCACCTCTAAATCATTTAGGAAAGCGATCACCATATTGCCGGGGGTGCAAAACATTGGGGCGAGCGCGCGGCCAGTCATGGTTTCCCATACAAATTACTAGTGAGTAGTGAGTGATAATTTTGTATGGACATTTTATTGATTTTCTCATGCTATATTAAAAGAGAGTCCAAATTCTTGTATTCTGGCTGATCTGTGCGTATTTTGAAACTACTGGTAAAGATTTCAATAGAATCTGATTGGGGGAAATCCGTGAATATGCTGATTTCTTCGACACCTTTCGGCGAGCTGTTTACAGTGGATTCATGACAACGAAACGCCGAAAACAGGGCTTTTACGTCTCTGTTTGTTTATACAAAACAACATTACAAAAGAATCATGTTTAAAAACAATACAACAAAGCCGTCGGGAAAGAAGAAAGACGTCCAGGTGCGAGAATGTAACCTGATACCAATGTCAATCTCACCTTTGATTATATGACATACTATTTAACCTCTCTCCTCCGCAGAGGCTTTAGTTTTCTTAGGATTTAATATTACAATGAGATACATTTCACTACACTTTACATGGCGGATCTTGGAACACGAGCGTAGCCGCTGGGGGAAGGAGCGCAGGCGGCATTTAACAATTAGACAACGAGGCCGAGTTGTCTATGAGCGAATAGTCAACGAGGCGAAGCCGAGTTAGCCTACGTCATAGACTCAAACTCGTTCCTCTACGAGGAACGAGTTTGAGTCTATGACGTAGGCTATGAGACCGGCTGCCGGTCATATAGTCACTTTGTTTAATATAGCATAAGAAAATCAACAAAATGTCCACACAAAATTATCGCTCACTCTTCTCACTCACTAGTAACACAGATGAGGTAATACAGATGTGAATCTCCTGTGAAAATGTGTCACACGGATTAAATAAACTTTAAAATTGTATTAATTCACTATTTTATTAAATTTTGATAATGCAGAGGAATAAAACTATACATATTATAGAAGTATTCATGTTTTTTTTATGCGAGAGTTATGTTTTGAGGCATTTATATCATTCGCTGTTTTGTTATTTATACACGAGCATCTGAAATTCCCAGCAAGTGTATTTCACAATTTTAATAAGAAGTAGATAGGGAAAAAAACAAACTTTTGCTAAATAAAATGTTATATTAACACTTTTAATAAAAAGAAATCAATAAAAGTGATCGCTTACCGTTACTATTGAAGAATTAATTCCAAAAATAGCCGTCAGTAGCGTAGACTTTTAAAAAAAACAATTTTTCGTCTTTCGAACGGCGTTTTCCTATCTCTTTCCTTATTAAATTTCAGAACGACACTTGCCAGCGCTCGCCGGAAGTGAGAATTCCGTGTGACACAAAACAATCAGCAATTTCACAGGAGATTCACATCTGTACTTACCTCATCTGTGCTAGTAATTTGTATGGGAAACCCATGACTGGCCGCGCGCTCGCCCCAATGTTTTGCACCCCCGGCAATATGGCGGAATAAACCTTGAAAGGGCCTATTGTGCCCTATAGCTCAGTGATTCTGCCCAGTGAACTGTAAATAACCTGGAACGATCAGTGAACTCTATATATATATATCTGGAATGATAACAGCGAGCGAAAAGTGAAGCCGACAAAAAAATCACGACATAAGTATTCGTCATTGTCTTCGTCATCAACTGTTCAAGAACTTTCTTACAGTATTAAAAATCACTTCAGTGCTTCCATTTTCAAGGAAATTTCCTTTTCTAAGGAAATTCTACTGTCGAAAAGGAAAATCTAAGGAAGAGAAAAAATCTAAGGAAATCTAAGGATTTTTTCCGAAAAACCTAAATATTCATCCAAGCGCATTAGTGCAGAAGATGGTTTCCATTTTTTTTAAATTTTTGAGTGAATTATCAATTATCTTTAATTAAAGATCTGTTTTTAACTTTTTTCTCGTGTTTCCGAAAATTTCAGAAAGTTTTTGAGCGATGGGATTTAGTAACTTTTGGCGCCAAGCGTTGTGAATAGTTAATTAATCATATCAATGTAAAGGTATCTCTTGTAAATTCATAACAAATATTTAATTTTAAACAGTATAATAGCCTGTGGTTTTTAGCTAGCCCATATCTTTGTTAATTGTGGTATTTTGTGCCTTGAAAATTAATTAAATCCTTTGTATTGCTACAAAATCACTGCAAACTGCTTCATGAAATTTCAAGGAATTTTCAAGGAAATAACAGATACAATCTAAGGAATTTAGAGAAATTTTGATGACAAAAATGAGAAATTTTGATTTTAAAAATGGAAGCACTGAATCACTTACATATAAAATTTGTAATTGTTTTGAAAGTTTTTATCACAGTTTTTATATCTTTATTCACTTTTAACCTGAAGATGGAGTTATACTCCGAAACGTAGTTATTAAAATAAGTTTTTACTAAGCCCATATGGTCTAATTTATATTCAAACACACGTACATATTCATTTACATTTTGCTGGCAAGCAAATTCCGATCACACAATAAATTCTTTAAAAAATAACGTACCAGTGTATTGACTAAAAACTATAAAACTGCTAAACTAAAAAACAATTCAAACAATCGCGAAAAATGGCAACGGCAAAGTCACAGTTGCAAGTCAATTTACCTACCTGTGCAATGAAATTTTCTCGCAAGAATATCTCTTTCCTTGTGCATCCAGAACGACAGTACGACACAATATATTTGAAAAAGTGATTCTTTTCTCCACACGGGAAAGTTTTCCTCGACTTTTTTCCGACAGCGAACTCAATGCAGTAAATTTTAGGAGCAAAGCACTTTGCTCTTAAAATGTATTGCATTGAGTTGGCCATGTTTTTAATTTTATTTTCGTGATTGCGTTCAAATTTATACTGGCCGTGCAACGGTTTGCAAGAGGGGGAATGAAACTGACGTCCAATCCGCGTAAACCTGACGTTTGAGGGACTGAGACTGACGTCCAATCCGCGTGAAAGACTGGTATCGAGGCTTCATTTTTTTCGCAATCAAATGACTGAATGTTATCGTTCCAGATATATATATATATAGAGTTCACTGGAATCACCCAGTGAACTCCATTGAACTATAAATAACTGGAAGGCTAACTCAGGGGGGGAAATTGAAGCCAGTGTATTTTAGTTTTTCTGAGTTATGAGCAGACATACTCAACACTGAACGTTGGGCTATATATCAAATTGA